ATAGCCAGTGCAATCATAGGAATTATATTTATCAAAGAGAAATGGAAGCCCAAGGAATTCTTGAGTAAGTTCCACAGTTTATTTTCATTTTTCCTCCCTGTTTACAATTTGACACACTCCTAGCATGGCCTCTCAGGAATTATAATTACAGGGATGGTGAGGTCTCATTAGCATCTCTTGGAAGAAATGGATCATCTCATCCACTGTTTATTGCAAATGGATATTATTTTTGTCCTGACTTGTGCCAAATCMCCTGAATCTCACAGAATTTAGAAATTTTTCTGCACCAGCACAAGCCCAAGGGAATGAGCTGAATTCCATAACTGTGGAGTGTTTTCAGAGGTGGGCAAAGGGCTGTGGCAGTGCCAGGCAGGATCAGCCCCAGGCACAGATCTGCAGTTTGATTTATTTAGCAGATGCCACCAATTCTTTGTCTCAGCTCCCACACCCCCTCTGCCCCGATGGCTGCAATATTTTGGAAATGGGGCAGGAAGGGCASCCAGGAGGGACATCCAGGGTGTCACTGCTGTGCTGTGATGATTCCATGAATCCCCACCTCTCTGCCCCTGTCCCTGCTGCTCTCTGTGCTCCCAGGGCGTTATGTGCTGTCCTTTGTGGGCTGTGGCTTGGCCATCGTTGGCACCTACCTGCTGGTGACATTTGGGCCCAACAGCCACGAGAAGATGACAGCAGAGAACATCACCAGGCATTTAGTGAGCTGGCCTTTCCTGCTCTACACGGTAAGGGGTTCAGGGAGGGAGGGGTGGTTTTCTCCATTTTCCCAGAATTATTTTTCCTTGTGGTTGTTACCAATGTTCCTGTGTTCCCTCATGAACCACTTTTCCAGCTGGGATTTCTCTTTTTGTTTCTCTAAATTCTGTAGCACTTTCATATCTTGAACTGAAAAGTGACCTTGCCTGAATTTGGGCTTTTTCCACGCTGATTTTCTCTGGAGCCATGAATCTCTCATTGAAAATCCCATGAAATCTGTTGGTTTTTAATGAAGATGAGCTTGGCCATTGCCCCAGAGATCCCTTGGGACCCTCACTGCAGACAGCAGGCTGAGATCTGCTGTGAATGTTCAGCAGGATTATTGATCTGCTGCTTTACCATAAATCCAACACCAGAAGAGCCCCACATTTCCTATTCTGCAAGAAGCTGCTGAGGAGATCCTCTAAGTGGAATCCAAAATGATGCTGAATTTAGCCTGGAATTGTGTGGGATCCCCATTTCCCTTTGATTTGCCCCATTTGATTGGCTCAGAACCTCAGTGACTGCTGTGCCATCTTTAATACTCTCGTTTCTCTCTTTTGTAGCTCGTGGAGATCATTGTTTTCTGTCTCCTCCTGTACTTCTACAAGGAGAGAAATGCAAACTACATTGTCATCATCCTGCTGCTGGTGGCTTTGCTGGGTGAGTTGGAGGATCTTTAAACAGTAAATTTGGATTTGGAGGATYTTTAAACAGTAAATTGAGGCATCTCTGGCACACAGGGGATCATATTGACCTAATGAATGCCATGAAATGCACTCATTTCCTCCAGAAATGTTCCTGAAGATGATGTTTAGGATCTTTGAATGATTAAAGCTTATTTTCCATCAGATAAATAATCTGCCAAGCACAGAAAGTGCAAGTTCTTTATAGTGTTGTTCATTTTGATCTGGGCACACAAGGGGTGGCATTCAGAGGGTGAGGAGGGCTGAGCCAGGGGGTGAAAAAGAGGATTTGACCTGCAGGAGTCACTCACTTGGCTCTGTGTGGTTCAAGAAATGAGAACCTGTCCCTGTTAAACTGAGTTTCTGATGATTTTGATGTCCCACAGGGGATCCTGCAGGGACTTTGGATTTATATTCACATTTAATAATTTTTTTTAACTGTAATCACTTAAAAAGGTGGGTAACAGCAAGTCTGCCATGCTCAAATCCACGTCACAACTCTCAATTTTTGCTGTTTGTGCACCTTCTGTTCCTGAAGTGTCTTTTACTTTTTCTTGGTTTTTTTTGTGCTGTTTGGGGCTGGATTTCAATGGAGCCTCAAAGGCTCTGTGAATTACAAAGAAACTGCTCAAATTCTGAAAGGCCCAACTTGGGCTTTCAAGAGAGAGAAAGGAAAGCTCTTCCTGGTTCTTATTTTGGAGACTTCCTTGGCTTTATGAACCAGCCAAAAAGAAATTTGTATCCGTGGCTGCACAACACTCTTTAAAAATGAGAAAACCAGTAAATGTTCCCCATTCTGTAAATGTGGGAGCTGTGAAAAGAAGGGTTCAGTGATTTGTTGGAGGTTGCTGTGCTGGGTTTGTTGGGAATAAARSAGGGGTTTGGTGGGGATTTTGGGGTGCTGCAGGTGCCTCAGCTGAGTGTGGTGACCTCCCCCAGGTTCCATGACCGTGGTGACAGTGAAGGCAGTGGCTGGGATGATCCTGGTGTCCATCCAGGGAGCTCTGCAGCTGGACTCACCCATTTTYTACATCATGTTGGTGTGTATGATTGCCACAGCCATCTACCAGGCCACGTAAGGACCCCTCTCTTTGTCTGGAATTGTGTGGGGTTTGGCTCAGGAGCTGTTTGTTCCCATGCCAGAGATGCCTATTAAAGTTTAAAATTATCCTTATTCTTTCCTGTGATCCTCAAATCCATCCCCAGTTTCCTGGGATAATRGTGGTCTTTGCTTTTCCACAAAGTGCCATTTCCCAGTGCTTTTAATCCCACCATTCAAACATTTTCCAAACAATTTTAGGACTGAAATGGAGGCAAATCAGAGTGCAGGATCGGTGTTGTTGATAATGTGTCTATTTTTAGGGTTTTTTTTTCCCTTTGTACTTGCAATAACATAAAAAGCTGATAGCAGCAGGGATAAAAAGCTTCTCAGAATGTGAGGGACACTCTGGCCCTGAGGTTGGGGCAGTAATTTCAGTGCCTGCAGTCAGTGCAGCCACAAACCTCCCTCTCCTKTCCTTTTTATTCATTCCAAAAGCTGCTGCTGTTATTTAGTGAGAAAAAGAATGAATTTCTTTAAATGTCTGCATCATTTTTTAAAATGTGTTTCCAAAAAAAGGATCCTTCCCAATGAGCCCCYGTTGCCTGGGATTGTGTTGCAGGTTTTTAGCTCAAGCCTCCCAGCTCTATGACTCAGCTCAGATCTCCAGYATTGGCTACATCCTGTCCACCACAGCAGCAATCTCAGCAGGTAACTGCACAAACCTTTCTCAAGGAAGGGCAAAAGATTTTGGGAAATAATCTTCCTGAAGGAGGTGAATACTCAGCACTGTGAGCACTTCTATTTTCCTGTCATCTCTCATCTGCACTGGCTTTGTTTGGGTTTTTTGCATTCTAAAAATGTGAATTATCCCGTTAGACTGTGTTAAAATTCTCTGTGATTTTGTTTAAAGTGCAGGAGGTTTATGTTTGAGATTATTCCTCATTCCCTGGATGTTCTTAGATGTTCAGGTAGAACTTCTCCTTGTTGAACTTTACCTAGATTTTGTTAAAATGTGTGATCAATTTGCTTCCTCTGCTCCAAGGAGTTGGGATCTCTTCCCCACAATCTTCTCATTGTATTTAGAGAGAGCAGCTCTAAATTTTCCTCTTCTCTTTCTGGATTTCTCCAATTTCAGCCCTTGCCCTCGTGGCCAAGTTTTGTCTGCAGGAACAAAGATGAGAATTTCAACCCCTGGGGCTCTGAGCTGAGGAACAACCTTTGTGAGGTTTTGTTCTCCTCACACAYAGAAACAAAACTGAGGAAAATAAACCCAAAAAACCCAAACCCAGCACTGCAGAACTGATCTGCCTGGCAGTTCTGGATGCTCTGTGTGAATAGCAATGCCCTGCCAGCTAMAGAGGGCAATAAATAAACACATAAATTAAAGGAGCCTTTTAATGCTCCTCTTCAGTGTCATCAGTCTGGCCTGCTTTCTAATTGATATTTATTTCCTGTCATGTCCCAAGCCACAGGCTGCTCTCAGATTCAGCAGCTTCTTTATTTTTATTTTTACCTTTATTTAATTTTTACTTAATTTTATTTACATTAAAAATATAAAGAGCAGGAGGCAGAATGTGTTTCCTGCTGCCACCCAGGACACCAAGGACTTCTCTTAAAAGTCTGAGCTCTGTTTGGGGTCAAAAGTTTGTATTCTGCTGTTGTTAAATCTGGTTTTTTCATTCCAAAATAGTCCCTCTTTATGCTGCACAGGTTCACTTGCATCTCMATTAGTGACACCAGAACTATTTTGGTAGCAAGACTCTAAAAGATTTGTCAATAATTTGTGCTAAAATAGAAATCAGGACACCTATTTTAAGACCATTAAATAAACAAAGGTGCTGGCTATAAAAATAGGATTTTTGGATGATGTGGGTTCTGGAATTGGAAAGATGTAATGAATTATTTCCTTTTTAAGGAGCAACTTTTTACCTGGACTTCACTGGTGWAGATGTTCTCCACATTTGTATGTTTGCACTGGGGTAAGTGCTCCAGGTTTCCGTGACAGAAAACTGTTTTTTCATGTGGCTGAAATTTTAAAAATACAAATCTGTTGTATCTGTTGGAGGAACAAACTATCTTGGAGAAGAGAACAGGCTGAAAGCATTTTCAGTGTCAGAGCAGAGAGTGTCCTTTAGAACTCGGTGTTGTGTCTGAAAACCAGTGAAACCCTCAGTAATGCACAATTACACAACAATTAATCACTAAATCCTGGAGATCAGCTTGGATGTTGAGCATATGGCTTGATTTTCAAGCTGCCTGCTCACGAATCTGGAAGAATTGTAAAATAACCCAAAGAAACCCTCTCTGAGGAGCCTCATTGCMGATTTTGCACCTTCCCTGAACTGACTTGTGGAGTTTTTAGGGCATGGAGGAGGCACAACGCAGATCTGAGCAGTAAAACATTTCCTGGGTAACTCAGTGTCTTGGTGTAATTAACTCTCCATAATCAGGGGACATGCTCAAATGGCTTTTAGATAAATACAGGAAAAAAAAAGAAATCCCTCAAACGATTGGGAGATGATTGTTCTGAACTGCACCTTGCTGTGTTGTGCACTGTAAAATTCCAGACCCACGGTTGTTCGTGTGTTTATCTGCAGGAATCCTTTCACAGGTCAGGCTGCTAAATCCCAGAATTCCATCAAAGCAAACCAAATGTTGGTGGTTCCTTCCATCCTTCCTTCCTTTCCCCTTCAGTTAGCCAAGGTTAATGAATTAATTAACACGTGAACTTTTCCCTGTGTTTTGGTGCAGTAAAGGTGGAGTTGTGCTGTTTGCTGAGGGTATTTTGGTGCTGGGAAAGGGGGCTCAGCACCCTGCAATTCTGACCTGGCAGTTCTTGAGTTCCAGTTTTGAATTATGGAGCAACATGGAACATTCTGTGCTCTCCCTTGGCAGTGATCTCAGTGATTTTTATCTCCTCCCCCAGGTGCCTCATAGCGTTTCTGGGAGTCTTCCTGATCACCAGAAATAGGAAGAAGCCTGTCCCCTTCGAGCCCTACATATCAATGGATGCCATGCCAGGTAACCAGAAACTTGGGGTTTCATTCTTCCTTTGGAGAGCTGGGCTGCACGGGGAAGGCTCAGGCCCAGGCCCAGGCTCAGGCTCAGGCCCAGGCTCAGGTTCAGACTCAGGCTCTGTTCAGGCCTGGGTGCATCAGCAGTTGTTATCTGGAAATATGGACTGGGGAAGGCTCAGGTTCAGGCTCAGGCTCGGGTTCAGGTTCAGGTTCAGGTTCAGACTCTGTTCAGTGCTGGGTGCATCAGGCAGTTGTTATCTGGGAGTATGGACTGGGGAAGGCCCAGGCCCAGGCCCAGGCCCAGGCCCAGGCTCAGGCTCTGGCTCAGGCTCTGGCTCAGGCTCTGTTCAGGCCTGGGTGCATCAGCAGTTGTTATCTGTGAATATGGACTGGGGAAGGCTCAGGTTCAGGCTCAGGCCCAGGCCCAGGCTCAGGCTCTGTTTCAGGCCTGGGTGCATCAGGCAGTTGTTTTCCGGGAATATGGATTCAGGAAGGTTCAGGCTCTGTTCAGTGCACATCAGCAGTTGTTTTCTGTAAATACAGACTGATTTGAGCTTGTGCTTAGGATTGGGCTCAGTCCAGCAKGAAGAGCTGATTCTTGGGGAAGGCTGAGAAGTTCTAAGAGGTAGAGGAGCAGGAATTTCTTTAGGGAAGCACAGCTRGAGTCTCTGGTGAGCTGTGTAAAAGATCTGCAGCGTTTGATGAATAACTGAGAGCCATCCCTCGCTTGGAGCTCATTTCTCCATCAGCTGCTCCAGTGCTGAGCACAAACCCACCCTGTTTTTAACACCCGAGGAATTCAGGAGCCTCAGAGATTCCTCATTTCCTTCCTGAACAGAGAACAGGCAAAATGCACTTCTGTCCCTAATCTGTGGCTCTGCTCTTTRCAGGCATGCAGAACATGCACGACAAAGGGATTGCGGTGCAGCCTGACCTCAAATCCTCTTTCTCCTACGGTGCCCTGGAGAACAACGACAGCATGCCAGAGATTTACACTCCAGCCACGCTGCCCATCGTGCAGGAGCAGCACGGATCCAAAGCAGCTTCAGCCCCTCCCTACAGAGTGCTGGAGCACAGCAAGAAGGAGTGAGTGACCTTCAAGGACTGATCTGAGTGGTCAGAACCCGTTGACCTTTATTTATTTACCTGTTCAAATAGAAGCCACGTAAAGCCGACCTTGATAAAGAGTTTGAAGCTCGTCTCGAGCTGAACTTTCCAGGCTGATTATTAAAATAAACAACTCTTTCTAGTTGAGAAGTTGAAAGCACTTGTCTTGGCAGGAAGCAAATCCCAGTTCTGCATGGAATGGTGGAACTGATGAGAGAGGAGATGCCGTGGAACAGAAGTGACTGTGCAGTTTTCAGTCCTGCTGGGAGTGGTTTTATCTCCAGACAGAAGTTTTCAGGAGGTGCTCACARGGAGAGCAGGGCAGGATTTAATCTTTCATTTACAGAGACTGTGACAGATTTCCAGGAAAGCTTTAAATCCTGGTGTGACCACGGGGCTCCCCTAACACGGCAATAAATGGAATTGTTTTTAAGCACCAACACTGGAACTTGCTGGGTCTTCAGAGCAGCAGAATTGGGGAGAAAGAACACTTTATCCCTTCAAAYCATGAATTTTGGGCACTTCCTGTACAACTGTTTGGGTGTTCAGCATGAGCACGGAGGATGGGAGCTGTTTTTAGAGCACCACTGGATTACATGGCTTAGAACAAAGATTATTTGCCAGTTTTCTGATTTCATAGCAGGAGCTCCAAGATGGATTAAATGGTGCAGAGGGAGCACCAGAGGATGAGGACAAGGAGAAATGAGAGTGATGTGACTGTATCTGCTGGGGAGTTTATGTAATTTTTGACAATGTCTTAATTCTTTCTCACATTTATTTATTTTCTTTCTGATGGAGAGAGGATTTCCAACTCGAGTGGCCCCAACTATTTAAAAGTGTTGAAGTTACTTAGTTCAAAACTCAGTTTAGGTGATGTAAGCTGGGGGCTTCCCCCATTTTTTTTTTTTTAAAAAAACCTTGTCTACTTTTGTGGATGACCTAAGGAGAAAAGAGAAGTTGCAGAGCCCAGCACTCATTAAGGACTGTGAGGATAATGGAGCTTTGTGTACTTTGATATTTATCTTTCCAGCTTCCAGAGATGGCCAGGAGCTGATATGGAGGGAGAATGGACACAAGGGGGGAGAGAATGGGGAACTTGTCAAGTGAGAAGGACAAAGTACAACATTTACTGGTGTATGCAAGTTATCCTGGCACCTGATAGCACTGCCTGCTCTAAAACTGGGGGGTTTTGCTGGGAAACTGAATTTAAAGTCCATTCAGTGTGGCTGAAGTGGAGTCTCCAGGACACTGGAATTTTATTTGAAAGGAATAATACTCGTGGTCAGTGTATTTTCAAGTGATTCCTCCAATACCAGGGGGTATGGGATGATCTTAGACTTGGAACAATGTCTTTCTGCATTTATTTATTTGTATTTTTATTTGTTAAATTGACTCATGGCCAGTTTCTATCCCCCCTGCCAGAAATCCCCAACAGCTCCACTGATTGTACATAATTACTCCAAGTTCTTTTTATTSCATAGGACAACAGAACTGTTCTTTTGCATTTGTTTGCTTTGCCAGCTCTGCAGACTGATTCAATCTGGACATACTTTAGATTGCTTTGGCATTTTTGTGCAGCTTAGAAAAATAACCTTCCCCCCTGCACAGAGGAGGTGCCCCGGGGCTGTACCCACGGGCACCTGGGTGAGGTTTCACAATTCAGGGGCACAATTCAGATCTTATCAGCGGCATCGGAGCTTAGGGAACCTCAAGAAATAACAGCTTTCTTTTCATCCTCAATGCTTGATTTGTGATTAGGCAAGATAAGGATGTTAATGATGGGCTCGTGCTGCCAGAGCATTCATCTTGCTGGGGGTGCAGTGATGCTGATTTACTGCCTTTGGATCTGGTGATCGATTCTTGCTGAATTTATGGGCAGCTTTTGTTCATTGACAATGCAAAATGAAGCAGTGCAGGGAGGCTGAGWGGGAAGGGCACAGGAATGCTGCCTTTCCTTATCTCTTCCCATTGAATCCAACTGTTTTGACCTATTGGTTCCACAGCCAAAGAACAGAGTCTGAAAATGAGCTGTGCTGAACCACACACTTGTTCCGTGGCAATATTCTCTGTGTTTAATGATGTGGGATAAAATAATTCATCACAAGGGCCTAAATGTTTGGATGCTGACATCCAGATCAGGATGGTGCTGTGTGTGACAGTGCAGCTGTCCCAGTCCTCAGCAGTATTTAAAGCCAGCAGGTGACTGGAGCAGCAAGAAATGCCTGGTTTGGGTTTTTGGGTTTGGGTTTTGAGTTTTTGGGTTTGGGTTTTGAGTTTTTGGGTTTGGGTTTTGAGTTTTTGGGTTTGGGTTTTGAGTTTTTGGGTTTGGATTTTGAGTTTTTGGGTTTGGATTTTGAGTTTTTGGGTTTTTTCCTCCCCGTCACAGGCCCTGAAGGATGAACACAGTGCTCTGCCAGTGGACAGGGCTGCTCTGATGTGGCTGTGTTTCCCTTGCAGGCTGCTCTCTGGTTCAGGAGGGTTTTGTTGTCTCATTCCTGCCCTTCCTCCCTGCACAGAGCCCTCAGCAATTYTCTGAGTGAAACTGCCCCCAGCCATGAGCTGAGCCTTTGTGCTATTGTGTGGCTTTGGCCCTTTCCTTTCCAAGACTCTCAAGAGCTTTACATAACCACCTTTTATTTACACAGTCTCCGTGCTGAAATAATTTATTTAATAATGACAGTTCCCTTTACCTGCAGCAACAAACTCCCTTTGTTTGCTTCTGGAAGCTTCCTGCCAAAGGCCTCCACTGGAGATGGTGTCTGTTTCAACAGCACATAAATCACAATATTTTTGATTATTGTGTCACAGCACTGGAGTCTGAGGTGTTCCTTGGGCCCTGGGCCTCAGCTCCATGCTCTGAGRTAGGGCTGGAACTGAGGGAYTGCAGCTCACTTGTGTTTCCTGCTGCTGTTCAACACTGGAATTGTCAAATATGGTTTTTTTTTGTATTTTATGCACTTTCCTTATTTTTGCTTTTTCTCCCAATCTTCAAAAAAAAAGTTTTTTTCTGTTCTTCAGCATAAGAAAAGGCATGAGCAGGGCCCAGAGAAACCAAGTATCTTGTTTAAACTTGACTGTAGGACTGCTGTGCTCTTTCTGTTTTTTCAGGAGTGAATTAAACTACTCACCTCCCTTCCAGCCCAGAGAAGCTGAAAGGGGAAGGGTTTTTCACCCTCAGGTCTGAGCYTTTTACAGAATATTTGTTAGTCTGAGGTGATAATGGCCATGGCTGGGATTGCAGTGAATATTTACAGCTGAGCATCACAGGAAGGTTGAAAGGAGAGAGGCCCTGTGCCACATTCCAGGGTGAAAAATGGTTGAACTGTTGTACAGCACACTCAGAGCAGTGAATTCAGCACTGCAGGGCTGRTCCTGCACCCCCAGATTCCAAACAGGAGGGATTTCTCAGCAGCAGGAGCTGTTCCAGCCCTGTGATGAARGAGCAGCTCCTTGGCTTTATCTCTGCCTTCTTTACCCAACGTGAAGTGACATCTCYTTCCTCCACCCCGTGTGGCTTCTCAATGCACCAGAGCACTTAAAACATTCTCAGTGTGTATCTTATGTGTAACTTAACTCTGTGGAGCACGGCTCCTGTGTTGGCTGAATGTATAAAATGATCTGCCTACAACGTTCTCCTGTTCACCTTCAAACATGGAAATAAATCAAGCTTTACACTCTTTGCACTAGAAAGGACAACTGCTTCATTTTTCACAGGCAATGTTGCATGTCTGTTGAATTCTATTTGTCTTTCAGGTGAGACAAATGAAACTTTGAATAAAAGATTGTGGTAAAATCAAACTTTGAATAAAAGGTTGTGGTAAAACCTATGGACTTCTGGATTGCTCCATGCTCGTGGTAGAGCTTTAATTGACAAAAAAATGTCTTGGGAGAAGGTAAGACAGGATTGAGTTGCTCAAGTGTGTAGTGAAAGAGCTGTCTGTCTGTTTTTAAAAGGATAGTTGTAAATGAAATGCAGATTGTTACAGCTCATGTTCAGGGCTGCAGCATTACTAATGCTCCCAGTTTCACAGCAGCCTCCACATCTTTGGGGTTAGCTATAGGAATAGTGCAATTTACTTAATAAACTTCATTTTACAGGGCTTTAAAAAATAGCATTTAATATTTTGGAGAAGAGCTTGMAATCGTGATCTAAGGAAAGAGTAGGACAGAAAGCCAAAATCATTGTCATATTGGTGGCCTAAGTCACGATGGTTTTTTACTGAATTTGAGATCCCAGTGAGTTTCTCTGAGACAGCCAAGCCCTGTGATTGCAGCTGGGAATGCTCTGCTGYAGGAGGTGTCATCCCTCAGCCACAGGGCACCGTGTCTGGGATACAGGATGAGATGGAGRCTGTCAGAAATTTAGAATAGTGGCAATTTAGCTTAATTGACTACTTGCCAACCTAATTAACACTCACCAGATGGGTTTTCAGTCTAAGGGGAGAAGCAGAGGATAACCCTCAGGATATTTTTAATTAAATGTATCTCTTGGGGTCCCAAACCACAAAAGGAGAAAAGAAAAACAACCCAAGAGCAGCCTCAGTGTTAGAACTGCACTTCACTGAATCCCTGGATAACCGTGGCAGAAGCAGCTTCCCTAATCCCCAGAATTTCTGATAAATGTGGCAATACTTTGTTAACATCCACCATTCAAGGGTTTGTGTGTTATATTACAAGTATTTAAGTGCTAATATAAAGAGGTGCCATTGATGTCAGGAGTGTTACAGGAGCGCTGTGAAAGAGGTGTTATTGTAAAAGACAGAGTGTTTAAAACGCCTCTGAAATGGACACAAATGCTGGGAGTTCRTGGTATTAAAGCAGAATATATTGCTGGCCAGGGAGGAAGGATGTGGTATYGAATCGATAAAGCAGGAGATTGCAGCAAGGGAAGGCTGAGGATGGAGAATAATCCCTTACCAGCTGAATTTGCACTGCATCTGAATTGCAGAATYCCTTTATCAGGATCTTTCCTTCCTGAAGTGAGTTCTGCTGGGCTGCTCCCTTACAAGGGAAAGGTGGTCACCATGGTAGCTCAGCATCTCTCTCTGCCTGTTTCTGTAATTTAAAGAAAATATTTCAACTGTAGAAATTTCAGTGCTTATGTCACAAATCCTTGCTGTCTTCTGGCCTTCAGCAGCTGAACTCAATATTTGTGTCAGTGAAATTCAATAGTTTTGCGGGGTTTTTTTGTGAAAAACCAAAGAAAGGATGTTGATTTGTGCATTCTTTAGAGGTAAACGTGCACAGGCATTAATGGATTCCCCAGCTCAGATGATGGCTGTCTGAAACCATCTCATGGCTGGATTAAGCTGTGATTCACTCCGAGGAGTACACAAACTGTCACTGTTCCCATCTGGCAGCTGTCCGAGACTGGTGGCAGAGCCATCCCCATTAATGCCAGCGGAGGAATCACGGAATCCCAGAATGGTTTGGGTTGGAAGGAACCTTAAAGCTCATCCCATTCCCCTTTACCATAGGCAGGGACACTTTCCACTGTCCCAGGCTCTCCTGGCCTTGGACACTTCCAGGGATCCAGGGACAGCAGCTCTGGGCAGCTCCTTCCTCCACACCAAATGCTCGTCCAGCTGCTGTTCCGAGGGCGATTTGCAGGATTTTAAAATAAATTCTCATCGCTCTGAGCTCAGCCATTCCCACAACAATGGGACCCTCAACACCCCTCCTCCGGGCCCAGCGGGCGGTGGGTGCTGGGATGGATTCGTGCCATACAAACATCGCCCGTGTCCCCACAGCGCTTTTGGGCCGCCCGGTGAGGGCGGCGGTGGGGCCGGAGCCCCGCGGCTCCTGAGGGGACCCGACCCGCGGGGCGCACCCGCCGCGACCCCTCAGGGGACCGGTCCGTGCGCCGAGCCCCCGATTCCCTCAGTCTTTCTCCGTCTCCTTCAGTCTTTCTCCGTCTCTCTCCATCTCTCTCCGTCTCCCTCAGTCTCYCCCCCTTTCCTCTCCCTCCTCCCTCTCTCCGTCTCTCCATCCGGGTCACCGATCCCCTCACAGCCCCGCCGCTCCCGGAGGAGGCGCGCGAGGGGAGAACGTGCGCGCAGGCGCGTTCCCGCCGCCGCCCCGCCCCG